AATCTAACACACACAGGTTTAAGAGGATTGTCTTCTCCTCTATGGATGAAGATGAGTATTAATATTAAAAAAAAAAAAAACAAAAAAAAACCACAGATGTGGCCCCAAGAAGGCAGGGCTGAAAAAAGGTACTCTTACTAGAAATGATGGGTTCACAAGTAAGGCAATCTTAGGAGATAAGATTCACCTATAAAAGCTATCTGTCCAAAGAGACTGGTAAGACCCAAAGAAAGTAGCTGGTGGGAATGATGGCATGATTATGGTAAGGCAGGGGAGCCAGTAAAGGCTTGTGTGGCCTATGCCTGCATACACATAGCAGACATCAATCAGCTGCATTTCCTCCCACCATAGTCAATCAGAGTCCAAGAAGAGCTGGCAGTGGAGTTGGAAAACAGGTGCACAAACAGGCCTTGGAGAAGGGGAGAATATCACACATCCACAGCTACAGAAATAGAGTTTTTAGAGTTGAGAGAGTGAACATTGTATTGTGATAGAGTGGGTGGGATTTCACAGGCTCTTCAGTGGTGACCCTCAGAGGGTCTTTACTCTGGGGCTACGAAAAGTTCAGCTGCTTCTAAAGAGCAGGCTCCCAAAGAAATATTGTTTCCAGTGATGCATTTGGGTAGGGAACCATGAAGGCTTCTCAGGTAACAGACTAAGCTTGACCAAAGAAGAAAAGATACTGAGATTTACTGTTCTCTGAGGACCTTCTATCTTTTTACTATTTGGAGATTGAAGCTGACAATGCCCTTGCGAAAGATCATCTTCTCATTGCCCATGGCAATAATGGCAAGTAGAAATGGGTGATTTCAATCTTCTGACCACTTGAGTCTCCTATCCCCTCGCAGTGAAATAGAAGCAAATCAGTCATATTGAGTCTAATGCTGCCTGTCTATTTAAAGTAAATGGAATGGACTCAGTGTCTGGGTGGCAGGAAAGTCTGCAGAAGCTTTGCTTAAATGTCAAAGCCAATTGGCCGTTTAGCAGAGTAATGGCTGAGTTTCATTAGATCTGCCTTCTGGGAAGAAAAAGATTATGTGACATGAAGTTAAAAGTCTGTCTAAAAGAATATATTAACAATCCCATTGCTGTTGCCCAACAGCATTTGTTGGATCCACTTTAGCAGCCAATGGGCATGTACTTGGTTGGGCATGTACTTCGTTTGGCATGTACTTGGTTTTCTTCAGGACTGTTTTTGTATCTAGATTATTGGCATGATCTCTCCTTTCCCCAGAACTATCCAGACTTATTCTTGTGTTTTCTGCTCATCACTTAATTAATAGACTCAAATGCAGAGCTTTTAGAATAAAACCCCAGAAGAATTGTTATGATATCAGTCCCATAGAAACTGCTGACAGACTGAAATCCCTGTTAGACCTTCCCACCTCTCATCTTGCCCCCTACTGAGTGTGAATTTCTGTCAATTGTTTTTTAGAGAGGCTTAAAACACAATCACTTTCACCTTTCCAGTTGGCATGCTTGAATCAAGCAAACCACTAAGAAAAGGAAAACTTCTTTTCCTTAAGAGACTTTTACTTTCTGATTGCAAAATACATAAGAAACTAAAAACCTTCAATTAAAAGTTTTTCACAGAGAAGATGCAAGAGCCTTTAATGTCCTTTCTCTTCTAAAAAGCACAGCTTGTTTTCTCTTCATTCGTTCTGTTAGCATCCTTGTGAGGTCAATGGCTATATTCCCAACATGTGATAGCACCCTGAGTTACAGAGACTGTCAACTAGAAAGGGAATCCTAAGTGCCTTACTCCCAACACTAGCTCATTTTTTCTGAACTTGGCATCCACTCTCTTAGAATATTTCATCTGCTTTACTAAGAGTTCATTTGACCTGACATTGCATTTATTTAACTCTGAGAATCCACGAAAGAAAACTATAAACTCTTTGGCTTTTAATAACTTTCATCACAGGCTTCTCATCCATTCTACAAACTTGCAAGCATGGCCTTATTATCTGATCTGAAAAACCTTAGCCAAATCAGAGACAAACAGTATCTTGATTTCATACAAAAAAAAAAAAGAGAGAGAGAGGGGTAGCATCTTACTTTTTACTGTGGAGCCCAGATGACTCTTTCTCAATTAATAGATAAATACCCATGTTAAATAAGGTGGTTGTTCTAGAGACCAGAAGATTTTTTTTAACCTTTTCCAGCAGTCTCAAAATAGAAGGAAATAATAATCCTACATTATAAAAACAGGCAATTCTATAACACTTTTTAATCACTAGTATCTCTGTAGATCATATTATTCTTGAGTTTAGCATGGCATACTGTTAGCAAGTTTCATTGCCTTCTTATGAAAGGATAATTCTGGGCAGTCAGATTTGGGGATTAGGTAAATAGTGACTACTGGAAGATCATTTACAAATCTTCAACTATGAAGTTTGCTAAAATCTCTTTTTAAAAAATGGTTTTTATATATTTTACTTTATTTTGGTATTTAAAATAGCAGTAGCCCTGAGGAATAAAGTTTAGCTTAACCCTTTTCCCAGGTCAGGAATAGAATAAAATATAAGAGCACAGATTTTCTTTCAAAACTGCAAAAAAGGAATGACAGAATTAATTTATTCCAACTATCCTAGATGAGATTGCCAGCCAGAGTTGAGACAGGGAAGTCTCAACAGACTCTTCTTTGTTCTGTGAAGGCCTATATATTTAGACAACATCAATAGACAAAATAAATGTTGAGCATAATTTAATGGGGACTAAACTGAACTATCGGCTGATCTTGAAAGGAATACATCTTTTTAGATGCTATTCTGCTAATCCAATGGTGATTCCCTATTAAGAAAGGAAAATAAATTAATTGTACAAATTTACTATGCTATAATCCTAGCTGGCAGCAACGCACATATCTCTGGCTGTTTCTTGAGAGACTAGAAATGTCATTGATGAGAATGGTCTGCAGGTTGATAATTATATGCTAGTACATAACTTGTTCCTTAGTGCCATGTCTGCTTGTGGCCGCCAGGTCCGAAAATATGCACCTACCCAGAAGTTAGATGGCCTATTCCAGTTGGCCGTGGTCTTGTGGTTGCAGTGGAACCAACATAAAGAATTTAAATGTTTCACTTCTGCAAAGAAAGAAGAGGAAGCACTATAACACAGAATTCATTTTTTGCTTTCCCTAGGAGTAATTTATATCCAGTCATCTTTCATATTGTGAAGATGGACTTTAAAGCAGCTTATTTTTACTTGAGGTCTGTGTAGCTAGGAGCACAGTTTAACACTAATTACATTCCACTCCCACTCACAGTATTAATCATAATAGCCTTAATATTAGCTACTCTAAGCCAGGTATGGTAATTCATCACATGGTATTAGAACCATCATTTTTTTCTTCTGTCAGTTACTGGCCCTGAGAACATTATTGAGATATTTGAGTTATGTGCATCAGTTTTTCATGGTAGAAGGGTAACACTGACACTGGGATAAGAGCCATTTTCCTCACTCAGTGACAACCATTTGTTTTCGGCAAAACAATTCTGATGAATCTCCTGACCTGCTTATAACTCTATTAGAAATCAGTTAAAAATATGGAGATTTGAGTTGGACAGACCTGGGTTTGAATCCCTGGTTCCAGCATAGACTGACCTTAGTTTTCTCCTTGTTAAATACATGTAGTAATACCTACCACGTAAGGGTTTGCAGAGAATTAAAGTGAATTAACAAATATAAAGCACTTAATATAGAGCCTAGAACCAGCAAGTACCAAAAAGTAACTATTATTAGGGTTCAGCATATAGTAAATGTTCAGTGAGTATTTGCAGAACAAATGATTAAGTGAATTAGATGAAGCATATGCCACATCAATTCTTTTAACTGCCCAAGAACTACTAGGGCAGGTCAACTCATCAGTCCTTTCCTCCTACATCATTGTATCCTGTCTCGGAACATAAGCCTGTTTACTTTCTCTTCTCTCTTCAGTAAGAAAGGGCCTGGTCTATGTCAAACGTTTCACTACAGCTTTTATTATTCTCTCTTTTCTGGCTGGGCAATGGGGACTGTAGTTTCCACTTTGACTGAGATAATGGAAACCTCTAGAAACCCAACTCTCTTTTCTCCATATACCTGGGCTCTTAGAAATAAAAGAGCACTTAAATGTTAACTCTTCAGTAACCACATAGATCCCAGGCATAGTTCATCAGAAGTAAATGCATAATCAAGCATGAGTCCAGTGCTTTTGAATATCCCATATAAAAAAAAGACCATATTGGATCAAGAAGATAGATGAAATATTATTTATTGTAAATTAGTTGCTATGTTTCAGGAAGGTTGTTCCTCCACAGAAATGACTTCATATATCTTTTCCTTTTAGTCCATTATTCAACCAGTTGTTGATTTGCTCATGGCTAATTCTGATAGACATTAGAGAGTCAAGGAAGACCTTCTAGAGCATGACTTTGGAAGGAGAGTGGATGAACAACTGGATTAGAGAGATTGCTATTTAGAAGGATTACTGAAGCACTTGTTCGTAGGTAAGAAAACTGGGATTCTGCAGTTAAACTTGTAGCAATTGATCACCTTTTGAAAGGAATCAAGACTAGGAGGATTTAAGAGAAGCAAGTGATGCTTCCTACAGCATCTGGCCTACTGCCCAGGAAGAGTAGCTGTGCCCAGAAACTGTTGGAGTCAGCACGCTGACTTCGAGATGAATGACCCCACAACAGGGTACCTGCCTGTCTCCTACCTTTGAATGGTCTGACCTTCCAACCAGCTTGCCTGGGGATGTGCTGCCCAGCTGGTAGCCTGACTATTTTTCCTTGTGACCACCAGGGGATCAAGTATTTGCTGGGCTAGAAGAGCAAGCCCGCCAGGCGATGATGAAAACTGATTTTCCTGGAGACCTTGGCAGTCAGCGACAAGCTATCCAACAATCAAGAGATCAGGACTCCAGTAGCAGTGAGTTCTGCACCTTCTGGTAATGACTCAGGGCAATGGGAGAGGAATTATCAGAGTGTGTGTGCTCTGGGGACTGTGTATGGGGGGTTGGGAGGAAGACATTAAAGAAGGACATATGTGGATACTCAGTGTCCCCAAAGGTGTTCTAAGGTATATAGAGAGAAAGGAAAGGTTTGGCATTATTTTCTTTTAAACTCATGGACTACAGTACTTGGCATAGTGCCATACACAGATTTGTTATGGTTATTACAGGCAGGGGCATAGAAATAATTAGTGCTCAAGCAGCCCCTGGGTTAAGTCAAATGAAAAAAAATCCCTGTCTCCTAGAATCTGTTTATTCATAATTAATAAAATGTAAGGGTGGCATTACTGAAATTTTTGCTTGAGGGCCCAGTTTTAATGTTATACAAGGGAATTTGCTTATTGAGATTATGCAGCATAAAAATGCTAAAGTTGCGGTCTTTCCACACCCAAGTCCTAGGGACATCCATGTGGTTGAGATGTGGGTGAGACAACCAAGTGGCTAGTTACAAATTGAGCCTCCATGATCTGCCTGACCAAATACATTTTTAGATGTGTTATTTCCTAGGATAATTTCCATATTTTACTGATTTCATCCATTGGATATTGGTTATTATTAGTGTCAATTTCAGAGTGACATTTCTGATTTTGTCTCCATATTTGGGGATGAGGGAGAAGGAAGAGGGAGAGAGTTCTGCAGCCTTCTAGGAACTACAGTTTCTACTCCAAGTAATAATTTTGCAACAAAGGACTAACTGCTCAAGTACAGAAAAATGAGCTCAACTATTTCTAAAAAAAACCTATGGGAGCCACCTGTTTCTTGAGTAATATATAGGTGGAAATAGCAATATCTATGTGTCTAATAGGTTTCCATTATGGAAAAGATGCATCATCCTTCTAGACAACATACCTTTTTTTTTTTTTAATCTATCTAGTAGAAAGATATATTTGGATTTTTGATAAGTTACAAAAATGTGTTTGATACAGTGTTGTCTTAGACTAAGCCTAGAAGTATTCCAAATAAGAAGTTGGTGAGAAAATAAGGTACAATTTAATCTGTGCCAATCCTTCATTACTGAGATGAATTCAAATTAAAGGAAGCTTTGTAATGGGAAATAAAGCATATGTACATAGATCTTTCCAGAGTCTAAATCCAGTCCACCAACCAGCTGGAGTATCTGGTAGACACACATGGAGCTACTAGCAGATGATTTGGTTAGACTGTCTCATGAAGAAAGAATGTCACCAGTTTTGCCCAGATACCGGTTGGATTTTAAAATTATGCAAGGGATGGTAGAGAAAAATGACAATAAGCACCGTTAGGTAGGAGAGCTGAGTCTCACTGCTGATGCAGAGAGCCTAGTGAAACTCTGTCCTGTATTTCTATCTTGTTCACAGTCAGGCCCAGGAGTCAAGGATCTGGGTGGAATGGGGAAGGGCCAGGATCTGACAGCTGCCCTAGGCTTGGCTTCCTCTTGTGGTCTTCAGGGTACTAGCACTTATTTTTCCTTTCAGAAAGAAGTCCCTTTATTGTCTCTTTTCTCTATTTTTTTGTTCTTTTCATTTTTTTCTATTATATAAGTATGGATAACAAAATCAGCTCATACAAACCTTGCAGATTTCATGGCCACAGACAGACTTCCCCAAAGGCATATCCTGTACCCAAACTAAAACAAAGTCAATTCTTACTTTACTCATAAGAAATTATGTTTCCTCCTAAAGTGTAGTCTGTTCCTTCCACTTAATGCATTCACTTATCCATCAGATACTCCAAAGAACCAACAAAACAATGGACTTATTTAGCCTAGAATGCTGAATTACTAGCAGAGTAAGAACAGTCAGTTAAAATACCTGCCTGAGGTTGGTTGCTGTGCTATGTTTTCCACTGTACTGAATGATGCTTTCCCTGAAAAAGGACATCATTTTAAACTAATTTACTACTACCTCCTTTATCGAGAAGAGGAAAGAAAAAGTTGCTGGTGTTTCTGTAAATGTGCCTTGGGGCTAGTTGGGAGAGAACAGATTAGTGGGACTTGGAGTAGAGTAGTATATGTGACACCATGGAGAAACTGTACAAGAGGTTATGGAGAAAAGTAAGTAATAAAGTCAGTAAGTCATGGGTAAATCAAAGGTGGTGTGTGCGGGAATGACCATGGTGTGAGATCCGTGGGGAGGTATGATCTAAAGTGTGAGGTATTTGGGAACCATGTGTAAGAAGGATTATTTTTATGATAATGTACAGGGCGCAATCACCATATTCCAATGCAGTTTTGCCTCAGATTTTCTCTGTAGTATGTACATGGCATTATAAACAACAGCTATAACATGATTTGTACCCAGTGAAGCACTGATACAAACTATATTATGGAAGATCTGAAACTGTTTTCCATCATAGCTGCAAACTCTAATATGGAAAGCAGCTCAGGATGTATTCATGCAAAAATCAGAACAAGTGACCAGTTTGTGTGTTCCAGGTGACAGTGAAGGGGATGAAGAGGAGACCACACAAGATGAAGTCTCTTCCCACACATCAGAGGAAGATGGAGGGGTGGTCAAAGTGGAAAAAGAGTTAGAAAATGCAGAGCAGCCTGTTGGTGGGAACAAAGTGGTAGAGCATGAGGCAAGTGACAAATGGCTCCTGTGTCTGGAACCCCTGATCCTCCCACTCTGCCCTGATCTTCTCATCTGTATATAACAATCTTGCCTCTGGTGGTCTCCCCAGCCTCTCTTCGTTCACAGCACCAAACCTCAGACACACAATTCTCATCACACCCAGCCTTCTTTTTCCACCCACATATCACTACACCACGTACAGCTCTCCTTCCTAAAGCTCCCCATTCCTTTCCAGACAGAATAATTTCTTCATTGCTTATGTCCACCTTTGCAAAACTGTTAGCTTACTTCCCAAGGTGTATTGCATATGCTTGCAAATTTAAGTCAAAGTGTTACCTGAGGTGCTACCTTCTCAATTATCTCCTGCAGATTCCTGCAAGAAGCGTGGCAGGAGGGAAGCTAGTCCTCTCTGCAGTTGACCTTAGGGGAAAAAATAGATAAGCTTTCTCTGGGGCAGTTCTAGGTCCTCATGGCAGGAAGCCTTCGAGAAAATGAAGGTGGGAGCAAATTTAATCCCCTTCCTCTATTACTGTTTCTTTCCTTCAGCCCACAATGGGCATCTAAGAAGAAGATCTAATAGCAGATTGTGTTCGTTTGAACAGGATACCCTGTTTAAAAGAGGTAGGGGCAGGGAAGAGTCTGGTAAACAGTCTTAATGAATTGTCTACTTGTTGAACTGCAGGTCACGGAGAATTTGAATTCTGACCCCTTGCTTGAACTCTGCCAGTGTCCCCTCTGCCAGCTAGATTGTGGAAGTCGGGAGCAGCTTATTGCTCACGTGTACCAGGTATGGTGTGGGGAGCTGCATGCCCTGAAATGCTGAGCACCTTTGGCTTGTTTGTAGCCCGGATCCTGCCTTGGCCTTTGCCTCCAGCTCCTGAAGGAACCTTGAGTTGTTGCTTCCACTGAAACTGCACTCCAATCCTCAGAATTATTTAGAGAATAAGTGGGATATGTTGGGTAAATATGTTCTTAGTTCCCAGGCAGACACACTGCAGAAATTAAGTATCTTTATTTTTTTCTAACTTATTCAATGCGTATTTTAAATAGTGAAACAGAAACTAACATCTGTTAATAATGAGGGCTTTGTTTTAAAGAAGAAAAAATTAGTTAACATAAATGTTTCTGCAGTACTGGTATAAGTTAGCATTAATGAAGGATCAAATAAGGCACACTTTTATGTTCTTTTTAACTCTGATCCAGTCACACCTGTGCCTTGTGATCTGTATTGAAAAGGCATCAGTACCACATGGTAGCCTGGATTTTACCATAAAGATAGTTGGTTTATGAAGAGAAGTACTAAAGGCAGGACATTTAAATACCTGTAGGATACCAGAATTCTCAGCCAGCTTCTCTATTTGCCCTTCATCGCCAGACATGCGCTCGCATCCACCCAATGTGAACCACCTAGACAGAGCAAAATTATCCCGAGTATGAATTCTTCTCAGGCTCTGAGGCGGGCTCTGGTTCTGGAGCCCTGTTGTTCCTCAAGCCAGCCACGTGTCCTAGAAGGTAGTCAGAACCCAAGCCAGTGGAATCTGAGCAATGGTCTGACTGGAAGACCAGCTAACTCAAGAGACTATCAGTGTTACAGGTGCTAAACAGAAAGAATAGTTGCAAGTCCCTTGTTCTGAGACTAAAGGAAGGGGGGTATTTCCAGAAAGTAGTTTCTAAGTGGGTATTGATTGTCCTAGAGGCGGCTTTAAGAAAGCCTGGGGATCACCTGGAGCCCCGGTGACACAGTGGTTAAGAGCTTGGCTGCTAACCAAAAGGTCAGCAGTTGGAATCCACCAGCCGCTCCTTGGAAATCCTATGGGGCAGTTCTACTCTGTCGTATAGGGTTGCTGTGAGTCAGAATCGACTCGATGGCAATAGGTTTGGGGTTTTTTTGGGTTTGGAGGTGGCGTGAGATTGAGAGATTAAAGTTAAGGCTCTGTTCTACAGCACACTGCAGCAGTGGTGAGCGCCAAGAGCTACATGTGTCCTGTCTGTGGCCGGGCCCTTAGCTCCCCAGGGTCATTGGGCCGCCACCTCCTAATCCACTCCGAGGACCAGAGGTCTAACTGTGCTGTGTGCGGAGCCCGTTTCACCAGCCATGCCACCTTTAACAGGTTAGCTGGGCATCTAACTCTCTTGTGCTGGGAGCAAACTACTGGGTGTGGGTTCTGCTTTCCTAAGTCAAAGTGGAGGCTAGCGACAGGGAATGCAAAAGCAACTGACTCATGACCCTTTGGAAATACAAATAATTAGGCTAGTGAATATACCCATTCCACTAGATATCCCCAGAGGGAAATAGATTCCTGTCTCAGAATATTTTCTTTCCCCTATTAGAATAATATTTTCAACTAGAAAGAGATGTGAGGAAGTCCAAGAATGTTCATAGTAAAGGATAAAGAAGTCACAGGGTACTGGCAGGATCCTAGTGTGAGGACAGCTCCACTGTGTCCTTGGAAGGCTAGGACTAAGTGAACATTGTGTACTAGTCCTGTTTGACTAGTATATTGTAGTATACTCTGCCTTTATATTGTTAGCAGTGCCGGGGAGGAAGAGGTTGAGACAGTGGACTACACTTTGCCTGACAGACGCCTCCACTTCAAGGACCCTTCATTCCCACAGTATGACTGCCCCTGCATAGCTCTTACCAAACACTGTCACTCCAGCATGAATGAAAACTTCAGTTGTAAGGGTTCGTCTGATTTCTGGTGGGCTGCTGTGGCAGTTGGCTTAGTCTGTAACTCCAAGTAGGCTTTAAGACTTGGTAGACACCCTAGCCTAAAGAGGAGAAGGGGTGGGAGGCAGAAGAGGTGTCCCTAGGATTCAAACTGACCCCTAGTGGTGAACTTGGTGCAACTGGCTTGGTAGGTAAAGAGTAAGACAGAGCTGAATAAAGGAGACAGTACCTGAGCCTTGCTAGAAGACGACACTAACCATCCAAACTTTTTGCTTTCCAGTGAGAAACTTCCTGAAGTACTTAATATGGAATCCCTACCCCCAACCCACAATGAGGGCCCCTCCAGTGCTGAGGGTAAGGACATTGCCTTTAATCCTCCAGTGTACCCTGCTGGAATTCTGCTTGTGTGCAACAACTGTGCTGCCTACCGCAAGCTACTGGAAGCTCAGACCCCCAGCGTACGCAAGTGGGCCCTACGTCGACAGAACGAGCCTTTGGAAGTACGGCTGCAGCGGCTGGAACGAGAGCGTACAGCCAAGAAGAGCCGACGGGACAATGAGACCCCCGAGGAGAGGGAGGTGAGGCGCATGAGGGACCGGGAAGCCAAGCGCCTACAGCGCATGCAGGAGACAGATGAGCAGCGGGCCCGCCGGCTGCAGCGGGATCGGGAGGCCATGAGGCTGAAGCGAGCCAATGAAACCCCGGAGAAGCGGCAGGCCCGGCTGATCCGGGAGAGGGAGGCCAAGCGGCTCAAGAGGCGGCTGGAGAAAATGGACATGATGTTGCGAGCTCAGTTTGGCCAGGACCCTTCTGCCATGGCAGCCTTAGCAGCTGAAATGAACTTTTTCCAGCTGCCTGTAAGTGGGGTAGAGTTGGACAGCCAGCTCCTGGGCAAGATGGCCTTTGAAGAGCAGAACAACAGTTCCCTGCACTGAACCATATCGTCCTGCCTGACTGCCCACTCACTCAGGCCCACAGGGATCAGTGCTGCGGCCACCCACAAGGCCCTGTCCTTACTGCCAGAGGCAGACCCGGGTCTGTTGCAGGTGGACCCACACACCCCTTGCATGTGGGAGCATGATGATGGAATCAGGAGGGACCCTGCTCAGAGCAGCTCTGGGAAAGGGAGCAGGCACTCCAGGGAACTGGACTCCCCAGCCCACTGCTACAGGGCATGCTGATAGTAATGTGGGGGGCCCTGGTGTGGCCCACGAAGTTGTGAGGGCAAATAAATTAATTTTATCTTTATTGGCCTTCTCCTGCTTTTCTCTCAGTTTCATTCTAGCAAATGAAGTGATCTCAGAGAGACGTCGGGTCTAAGTTTTCAGGTAGTGAATTTGGAGGCTTGTTCTTTTCTGAGAGAGGGTGCTCTTCAACTTGGGCTGTCCAAGCATATTACTTATTAGGGCGTTTACAAGTTGATGAGGAATAACTATGACATTAAAGGAATAACCAATGCTGACCTTGTGAGGGTCAATTCCAACAACCATAAAGAAGATATCTATGGTCCCAAAGGCTATTTAAATCTAGTTTACATTTTTCAAATGCAGAAGTACAGTAGTCCCCCCTTATCCATGGAGGATTTTTTCCAAGACCACCTGTGGATGCCAGAAACCTCAGATAGTACTGAACCCTATATATACTATGATTTGTCCTATACATACATACCTATGATAAGGTTTAATTTATAAATTAGGCACAGTAAGAGATTAACAACAATAATAATAGAACAATTTTAACAATATACTGTAATAAAAGTTATGTGAATGACAGAGCAGGATGGCACGAGATTTCGTCATGCTATGTATTCATTTAACATTTGTGAACCGAGGTTGACCACGGGTAACTGAAACCACAGAAACTGAAACCACGGACAAGGAGGGGCTACTGTAGTGGAAGCCTTTCTTCATAACTAGCATTTTCTAAAGAAGAGTATGCAGTACTTTGGTCAAGGTGCTGGCTACTTTTCCCAGCAGAATTCAGCTTGTCAAATATAGTTCTATCCCAGACAGCAGTCAGCTGCATCTAGGAATATGTTCATAGAAATGACTGCAGTATTAAGGTCCACTGCACCAAGGAATTCGTGTTTGTGAGAAGAGGTAATCCATCTTTTCATTTATTCCCCAGAGCCAAGAGAGAATAATCAAACCCATTGAGGAAAATCCAGAATGAAAGTGATAAGAGAACGCAAGTCAAAAGTGGTCAAGGCTGGAGCAAAAAGACAATAGTTTATATGGCTCTATGGAAGACACAAGAGCTGGGTCATGATTCTGTGATGGTACAGAACAAGCACAAAACTTTCCTCAGCCTGCACCAAGGGCTGTATATGGTTTAGATAATTATAGCTCTTGAGGTCCAGAAGGAAGTGCCCTAGTTAAATTGTAGCCAGAAAAATAACTATGCCAAGAATGTGGACTTCTCCAATATTGTAACAAGGAAACTTGGACTTCTCTCTGACCTCCATAGGTTCAAGGCTGTTTAATAGTGTTAACTGACCCCTACCAAACAAGGGTTAATTCCAGGCAGCCTGAAATACAATATTTCTATCCTGAAGACTACAAATTTGTTAGTAAGCTAATTACAAAGTACTAGACATTTCAAAGAAACAAGTACTGTACTTATCCAAATGTCTTTCTCTCACAGAGCTCCATATTGAAACCCTACATACATAAGTTTCAAAACAGTTGTGCCAGAGATTATTCTGAACACTTTACATGGATTGTCATTTAATTTTCACAAGAAACTATGAATTAACACAAGCTGAGGAGCCAGATGCCTGGGTTTGAAACTCTGCCCAGCCATTTAACAGCCATGTATCTTTAGGCAATTTATTTAACCTGTGTCTTGGTTTCCTCATCCACAAAAATGGAAATATTAGAACAAATCACTATTAATACATATAAAGCACTTAGGACAGTTTCTGGCACACACAGTATTAAGTGTTCAATAAATGTATCTGAGTCACCATCATGTATCTCAGTGTTTCACCACTTACTAGTAGCAAGCATTCTAAGTTAGAGCAGTTGCTATGATTGGAGCTGAGTTATTCCTGCCATTTCTGGTGGGACTCCCAGCAACGAACAGAACTGAGGGAAAGGCCAACCGTGAGGACACCTACAAATCCTTGTGATTGATTCTGCTAGTATCTAAGTCTATAGGTAGACTTCTGGTTCTCTGAAATACACACCAACAGACTGTGTAGACCATGCTTCAGGACTAGTTCATACAATATGCACTGAGCTTGAGGTTAGTTTCCAACTCTCATCACATGAAGATGGATACCATGAAGGGTTTCTGTCCCCCACCCAATGGCCACAATCTAAGGCCAGGATTGGAAAAAGGCGCAAACACCAAAAGGAAAAGCTAGTAGTTTATATAGATAGATATATAGATATTGATATATATTGTGTTTACATAGTCCACAAGTTAAATGCAGGTATCCATAAGAAGAGCATTAACAATAAAAATACAATCTGTGTGTAGCCAAGTACAGAGACTTAAAATGGTAAAACAGCAAAAAGGATCTCACAAAAGTACAAATATACAGTACAAATTGATTTATTTAAAACAGTTACAAAAAAGCACAACAAAATAGAGATTATCCTTAGAATTATTAATGCTTTGTTAAAGATCAGGTAGGATTAGAGGGTAAGAAATGGTATTGGGTGGGGGGAGCACCTGACTAGTTCTAAGGCTTTAGATACAATGCAGATGATTACATATTAATTCAGCCATTACATACTGGGGATAGTACTTGGGGGATCAGTAATTTATCTACAGGGAACTCCTACACAAATCAGATCCATCCAGATCTCCCCAGTGCCGTCCTTCTCTACTCCTCAGGACACTAAAGCCACCTGGATGACATTCTCACCCTTCCTTCTCCACCCCAGTCCCTATCCATATATTCTCCCCTCCCCTAAGGTGCTGTGCAAGCTGAGAGCAGTCTGCTCTCTGCAGCTGGAACATATACTGTTTTGGCTACAGGGATCCTGTGTGTGACTAGGAAGGTTGTAGGGAACAGCCTTATTTTAATACTTCAGGTTTGCCAAGAGTACAGTCTTGTCCCCAACACAATCTGGATTCTCTTGAATGCAATACAAGTATCAAGCAAGTGAGGGATCAACCCTGCCTTCAGCAATACCAGCAATATACTAACCACTCACAGCTCACAACTATGTGCAAACTCCCTGTCCAGGGGGTGAGTGTAAAACCACTAGGTCATCAGCTCTATCTCTCTAAAGAACCTCAGTCCCCACGACAGTCATAAAGACAGAAATAAATGCTTGCGAGTTTTGACAATAGGTAAAGGCACATGGGCTGCTGCCATACACACTGCAGACAGGAACCCAACTTGAGGCCATCTTCACTGCTGGGCGTTTGCAGTGGAATGGCTTTGGGATCACACAAACTTTGAGTTTGCAATCTACTGGGGAAGGATGTAGGCTTAACAGGAAAACTAATAAAGAAACTTTAGTGTGAAAAGTGCATTTATTACTACTGTTCCTGCTGGGGAGGCTCAGCAGGGCGAACTGCACCATCTCTCCTTCTGCCCCAGGCACTGTGCATAGTCTGCAAGTAAGGAGAGAGTGCAGTCGACTCTAGCATCTCAAGGGCCAATGTCATCCTCGGCCCAGACCAGGCCTCTGGTCCAAAGATGGATCCTAGAGTTGAAAGAGCAACTGACAGCTGCAAAGACCCAGATGCTTGTTTTATTATTGCATAATGCGGAAGACCTCCCCTACCCCAGGGAAGCAGGAGGGTGAAGATTTCCCAGCAAAGGGCTAGTAGATTCCTGACCAACATCCAACTCTGTATGGTTCAGCTCTTCAACTGTAGTGTACACTTTTTCCCATCTGTAAAGTATTGTAGCTTCAGTGTGGCTTACTCTAAAACTTCGCCTCTTCCCCTATTTACTTTGTTTATAATACTATGACCTAATTCCCATGGCCAATTCAATTAATTAGGTTATTTTTACACCAATGGATCAAGGCCCTTTCCCAGTCAACCCATGTCTACCCTTCATCTCCAATGTAATCATGCAACTCTTTTCAATATGCCTGCTTGTTGCACGTTTAAATCACACCACCACCCTGTGCTTCCCCTAAGTTTCCTATGATGCCCATTGGTAAAGAAAAAAAACCAAAAAACTGAAACCCACTTGAGGGACTATTCCAGCCAAACTTCAAACTCTCTTCCAACCCGAGAATCCACATAACGAGCTAGATGAACCTCCCTGGGGTGCTGGCACAGGCCCTAACCTGGTTCCCCCTCATTTATTTTTTAAAACAGGATACAAGATACCACAAAAGAAAGTCAATACAACAGAAAACATCCACTCTTAGGACCTGCTTGTCTCTCCCTCAAGATAGTCGAGATATTTGGAGCCAAAGGGCTCCTGACAAGCCCTGAAGTCACATCCCTTTGGATCCACCATCCCACCAGCAGCATTTCATACTATCCCTCTTCAACATGACTTTGCTATAAAGTAACGCAGAACACAGATAAGAACGGACAGGATGCCTGGATTTAATCTATATGGCCAAAGACCTAGAAGGACAGGGAGCTCTAAAGGGCAGCAGGCAGGAAGTGAGCAGACGGCAGCAGTGGCAAAGCAGCACAGACCAAAGCCCTTGGAGTTATGACTAGCTGGGACCAAGAATGCAGAAGAGTCAATCCAGATCTGCTGGGGCCTCTTCCCTCCAGCTCCCCCTTCCTGGGGTACACTAATCTTGACAGGAACGATTATCTAAGACTTAGATGTATCACCCCCTCCTTTAATTGGTTCCCCCTTCTTCCAAATTGGTACAGGCATTTCTGTACAGTACCAGAATCCGCAGTCCTCCTTTCTATCTATAAGCTTTGGGGAATAGTCTGCCACCTACAAGGGACTGATTGTGGCCTCCTTCTTCAACTGCCCATTCCTAGAAAGCTGACAACTTCCCACTAAAATGCTCACTCTGTCAAAACCACTCATGTCTCTTGCAAACTTACAAAATTCCTGTAATAATGTACATACCACAGGTTACTTTTATTTCTCATGCCTGGAAGTAAAGACTGAACGAGAGGGAAAAGGCAAGAGAAATGCCATAACTCTGACCAATATTTAAAGCACAGTTTCTTTTCCTGGGAGACCATACTTTATGAAAGACACTTCTGCAGCTCAGCAAAATCAAGTATTAACACATTACTTATTCATGGCACGGTATTAAGGGAGCTGCTGATACTGCTTCACCAGGAAGAGACAGAAGAGGAAAAGCAGCAGAAAGGTCAGGGCCATACTTGCCAAGGTCCACAAGAATTTCTCTTTCCAGGATCAAGTGGCAGTTAACAGGCTGGGAAGTCACATCTAACCCAAGTGGAGGATTTTTTTTTAATTTCAACTACTTGGCCTGTATCTGGCTAGATAAAGGTTTGCTCCCAATGCTCCAGTAGGAGGAAGCTCAGTTGGTGGTCCTCGGTGGACATTTCTTGAGTGTCTACTGTGTACATGTCACTAGATTCAGCTGATGAGCCTTCCTATGAGGAAGGATGCCTCTGAGAAACCCATGCAGACAATAATCCCTAGAAATGAGTTGCTCTCCCAAGGCTGTCATCTGAGAGGATTCCTCAAGATAACTCCACAGCCCCTCATTTGGGAAACAAACCAGAGAAAGCAGCAGTCAGAGAATGGGGAAAGAGAAGGGAAAGGACATGATCCCAAATGCAGTACAAGGTTGAGTGTTTACCAGACAAGGTTGGTGTTTGGTTCTGATTGAACCAGAGCCTTAAGAACTCACGGTCAGGTCAGCAGCTTCCTTTGGATGGGCTTCCAAAAGCTGACTGACCAGATAACCACTCTCAAAGAATGAAACATTGGAGTGTAGGGCTTGTAGCAAACAAGCCCGTTTCAATCACTCTGTTCCCCCAGGAGAACAACCTTTAGCACCTGAACACTAAGAATGACTCCATTCTCAGAACTCCCCCTCCCCCCAGGAGGTAGGTAAGATTATTCATCCCCATTTGGCAGCTGGGGAGGAAGTGAAAGAGTGAGAGGTCATAAAACTTGCCTAAAGTCATTGACAGAGCAGAAATCAGACCTCAGAGGTTTCGGACTCCTGATTACAGGTCAGGCCTCAGCCAGTCCAAATACATCTATAAAGGAAATACCAGGATCCATACCCTGGGAGAAGCCTAACCAAAGAGCTGGGTGGACAATACCCTGAGTTGCCTTCAAGAGTCTCTAAAGACCCACAAAAAAACAAAAAAAACCACTCACCCACCTGAAAGTTGGTAGGGGGCCTAATTCCCAATACCCAGTGGAATCCCACAGTCTGAGCTGATGCTAAAAGTTGTAAAGAAAACATGAGCTTAAGACAGGGGGACAGATACAACTAAGATTGAAAATACTATTCACAGAGGGATATTCTACCACAAAATGAAGTCTAAGGAACTTCAGGCATTGAAATGTTATGTTATCAAGGCTATCCAAGAACCTTAGAGCTGGCTATGGGAGGGAATGGCCCGGAGAAGCCTGATTGCTGGGAGAGGCAGGGGAGTAAGATGCGAGGGGCTGTGTAAGAATACCAGCCTGACCCAGAGCATGGTTCCCGTATTTCTCCAAGCTGCTCAGGAGCAGAAAAGGAGGGGACATGATTCTTTCCAAGTGTTTAAAAATAGAGAAGGGGAAACCAGATAGACCCCTACACATCAAAAACTAGAGATCTTGGTCAGAGTGAACAAGCCAACTTTGCAGAAGGGGAAGGGCAGTGCAGCTACGAATTAGGCCCAGGTCAAGACACCATGCAGGGAGGTTAGGGCAGCAGAAGGGTGGGGGCAGCGCAGGCACTTAGGCACAACAAAGAAAGACAAAGGAGGGGTATAGGTGTCTGGGGAAAAGGGTCCACTGGTTCTTTCAAAAGTCACCATTATCAACTAGAGTCAGTGAAATTTTGAAGCAAGTCAGGCATGCCGAGTAGGACCTTTGTTAGGTCAGCTACCTTCCCAGAGGCCCTGCCTAGAACCGGTCAGCCTAACCATCAGGTCTTTCTCCCAAAGCTCCCCGATGGGGTCCGCAACAAGGCAAGACTTCATTCTAAACCCTGCAGGGGCTTATCTCTCCCCTGACCCCCAAGTTGCTAGATGCCTTGTGGGAGGAATGGTGAGAGATGGGGAGGGGCTGAAGCAGAGGATCAAGCAGAGTCCTGAAGAGAAGAGTGCTCCTTGCCCACAAACCCAGCCATAGACATCTGTAACAAAATTACTCTTTAAAGTGCACATCTCTCAAAAGAAGGGTTCTGGGTGGGAACCCCCCTACTTCCAACTGTGGGGCCTCCCGCCCTCCCACCACAAAAAAGAAAGGAAAAAAACTTCGGACAGTTTAACTGCTACTGTAAGCTGTGGATCATTTTTGGCTCTTTCTTCGCTCCCTCCCTCTGCCACCTGCTCCCAAAGCCTGGATTTTCCCCTTGCAGGAGCTAGGGATGGGGAGGAAAAGGAGGAGGCCCTGATATTTGGAATGTTTCTTATCCTGCACACCCCCTTCTTTCCTTGGTCCAGGCCTGCTGCTCCCCATCACGGTACCCTCTGGGGCTGTCCTGAAAGGATGCCATGGGGTAATGAGCAGCAGGCCCTGCCTTGGGAGGCTGCCTTCACTCCTCCTCTACCCCCAAATCTCACTGCCAAGAGAGCCATTCCCTGCTCGGAGTGTGCAAATCCTCTGCCTGCTCACGGTGAGGCTCAGCTCTGGGGAAAAGCCCCAGTCCTGGTCTGGGAAACAGGTTCACTTTCCTGCATTGGAACGCCCTTCAATGGACAGCTTCACCTCCTGTGGAATGAAAGAGGGACGAAGCAGGGTGGCCCGTGCCTCCTCCCCTTGCATGCTGTATCTTTGGAAGCTTGGGGCTGGCCAGCACGCCTGAGCACCAGGCTCAGGCTGGGTGGGCTCTACCATACAGGAACCCTCTCCTGACGGCTGGCTCTTCCCCTCACTGTCACATAGCTCTCTGGGTCCCAACACTGTCCTCTCAGGCCTTTCTCGGGGGGGACCCAGCTGGCCTGGGGGAGCACAGCTGGCCTGAGAAACTGAGTTACTGTTCAAGCTCTGTAAACTGATAGAGATGCAGACATCTCCCACCTGTAGCCGATGGCAGGGCAGAGAGAAGAGCTGTGCAGTCCGCCCAGGGCTGCAGGAGGACCAACCCTGGCCATACACAAAGAAGGGGTGTTCGGGGGGCACCTCGATGCTCACTTTGCTCTGCTGCTCCCCAACCACGAAATGCAGCATGACAAATCCAGGCCACTGGCTCTCCTGAATGTCCACAACTGTGCTAGAGTCAATCTTCAGCCCCCCACTCACTTCGGCACTGCGCACAAAATCCTGGGTCTGGAGGTCCTCCACCCGCTTTAGCTCCCCCGTGGCCAGCTGGATGATGGCGCCTTTCATGAAGTGGGAAGGCAAGTGGGAGGAGGTAATGGGGGGTGGCGTTGGCTCCTTGTCTGGGAAGGTGGCTCTCGCCTGCATGTCCACACTTGATGCCACCAGGATCTCCGAGGCCATAGGCAGCAGGCCTGGGTCAGTTCCAGTGGACACCAGGTTGCCATTGGCTACAACCATTGCTTTGGGTAAAGGTCTATGTTTCACCAGCTCCTGATGGGATTGAACGTAGAAGCCTCGGGCCTGATTTTTCTCTACCATCTCTGCTGGGTTCTTGGCTGACCCTCGCCCCTCACCCTGATGGTCAGGGGTATGATGGGACAGGTTGAGGGGGCTGGGTTCATCCTTCCTCTGAGCTGCCACCGCACGATAGTCCTGAGAAGCTAAAGCGCCAACCACCCGCTGGACCTCGAGGTCAGTATCCGGAGTCCCCCGGTGTGCCGGCACCATCACCTCTACCCGTGGAGTCTGAGAACCTGAAAACAACTGTCCATCCACCACACATTCCACCACAGGCACCAGTCCCTGGCCTTCACCCTTGCTGTTGGTGGAGTCAAGGGCTTCACTTTCCCGTCTTGCTAAATTTTGCTCTCGCTGTCTCTGTCCTCCATTGGCAGCGGCTGCTTCCAGAGCAGACTGGCCCTCCTGAGGGGTCAGAACTGGGCTAGCACCTGCTGGAGGGGTTTCATGCAAGGTATACCCAGCAGGCAGCCTGGACATCTGGTAATAAATGGGCATCCGGCCTGTAGCGAGGTCCAGTGGCTGAGTACTCGAGTGATGTGGCAACTGCCCAGGTGGGGAGGCAGCAGAGGGGGCTTTGTTGAACGAGTGGGCTGGGGATGAAGCCTGTGGGGGAGGGGTGGCTCCTTCTGCCAGGAGTGAGGCATATGGCACAAAGTGAGGAAGGTGAGTGGTGGCAAGGTTGGCAGAAGGAGAAAGGAGGGGACTCGGTAGGAAATTAGGTGGCATGGCATAGGGAAGGCTATATGGAGACCCGATAAACTGCAGAGAAGTGGATGGGAGCTGAGCATAGTGGATTGGGGGATAGTGGATTCCTGGATGCTGAATCAGTGAAGACGCTACATTAAATGTGGGGGGCAAGGGGCTCATATTCACCACAGATGGGAGGCCAGTTGGTGAGAAGGTGGCAGGTGGCATAGCTACCTTATACAGCATGCCATACTGGTCTACTGTCAGACCAGTGATGGCCTCAGCTCCATCACCCCCCAAGCCAACTCTGGCTGCTGCCTGGCTCTGCCCGGCCACCACAACCCCTCGGGACCATTCAGAGGCATCACTGGAGGGTATGTGGTTAGTTGAGCAGCTGGTAGTTCTCCCCATATCCTCGCTGGTCACGGGGAGGTCTCGTTTCTTTGGTGGAAGGCATTCCTGACTCCTCTCATGAACAGGTTTCATATTGCTTTGTGGTGTTCCTAGAGCCTGGAAGGGGTCGGCTTGCTCCTTGAGGCATCAGAAGGGGCTTCTCTGTGGCTTCCCTGCACCCCTTTCTGTTGCTGGCTGGGGTGCCCACATCTGCTAGGGAACAAATCAGAGGCAAAAAAAAAGTAACCTAGGGGTGAATCATAATAGCAGGAATTATGCCCACAGAGGAAGATGCAACAAAGAGGACAGCTGAAAAAAGGAGCTATGAGAAAGGGACAGAAAAGGACGCTCCCCCACTCATCCAGCCTAGGACATGAAAGAAACAATCAGAGAAACCACAAAGCACCAACGGATACAAGGACAAGCATTTGATGATGCATAAATAACCTGTGGGCTCCACAACCACAGAGAGACCAACAGCTTCGTGATTAGTCATGCCTCTGAGGAAGACCATGACTCTTCTCAGCCTCTCCCTTAAGGGTGATTTGAACACATGGTCTTTGCTGCTAGCTCTTTTTCCTGAAGCTTCTCTTCTTTTTGCTACCAAAGACTAATGTGCCATCTTCTTTCCCTGAACGTATGACCTCATCCTTGCTTCCTTTCCCCAGCCTAATATGGATTATGATCTCACCTAACTCCACCTCCCCCCACCCCAAGCCTAACCTCTTTTCCTCCTTTGCCTCTCATCACTACTACCTCAAGGACTACCCTAAGTATCAGTAAGTCCTGGGGTCTGCTTGTGTCTTTTTTAAAAAAAACTTTGGTCCCCAAAAACGTTATAAAATATCACATTCAGACTTGGGCCCTGACAGGGAGAGTGCCTGTACCAGCTTGCTCTACAACTTATGTGTTTCTCCTCCTCCTCAAAGAGCAACAGAATCCTTCTGATGTCATATAAACCTCTTATTCCTGAGGCTGGCAAGATCATCTTTTCTTCAAAATTGACCACTTTCAACGTGCCTTCTTTTTTCCTTTCTGTTTTCTTTTGCCAGTGGTTCCTTTTCCATTACAGGTCTGCTCTACACACCACTTCCTAAAATTCTGGTTCCATTCCTGCAAACATGCCCATTTATTCCTATCTTAGATCTGTATGATTCATAAAAAAAGTTCTCTCCCCCCACACCTTACAGTCACCTTTCAAAAATGCTTTTGTCCATTGCCAGACAACATCTTTTTTGTCTGAACACTTTAATGCACATGAACTTAGTCACCTATCTCTTCCAATCAGACTTCAGCTTTCTGAATCTGAAGAGAGAGTTCTATAATTATTAAGCTGTTTGGTTTTTCCACTGTTGCATCTCAGGTGTTTCTGCGCACCAAGGAATCCAAAGCGCCTGCATTACCTGAGCTTCCAGTGGTGCTTCTGAGCAGCTGTAGTAAGAAGCAGTCTCCTCCCGGCTGGTTTGAGAGCCTAGACGACAGAAATACGGATAAAATAAGCAGGAGCCTGACCTCTGACCCTCCCCAAGGTCATCATGAAAGGTAAATTCCAAAGACATTAAAGTCTGCAACAAGTCCTTGCCTGGACTTCTTCTCCAGAGGTAACAGCATCCAGAGTTCCCAGGCAGTTAAATAGAAAAAAAGCCATTTCTTAAGTGCTAATTTGTAAGAAGACATTCCTGGAAAAAAATTTCCATGTGTCAAACTTCACTTTTTCCTTAACAACATACTCTTCATTCTCTTCCCATGCCAATTCCCCAAGGTGAAATTTACCTCCAATCCCAATTTCAGTTAAATCTACAAATAAATGGAAGAGACTCAACATTAGAAGCAAGAAAAAAATCAACTTCATGGACTTTGCCCTTACTTCAGCGCCATGAAAACACAGACGCGGAGGTCGTAAACGAGAAGAACAGCACTAGGAGGAAAAAGAATTATTTTATGTTTCTGGGGCAGAAAAAGAGGTCAAGGGGGAGTCACTCAAAGGGAAGCCTTATTAACAGAATTTCAGGGTAAAAAAATTGCCTCCAGTATATGTGTATGTGTGTGTGTAAAATTTTCTGAGTGACAACTTTGTACCAACTGCTGAATCAGGTGTGACAGAAAATGAAAATATCACCCTGGTCTTCAAGTAGCTAACAATGGTCCAAAAAAAAAAACACCCACTAACCTATCAACATCTCCATCTACACACGCCAGAGATGTCAAGCACAGAACAGGAGCCTTAACATCTGAAGACAGGGAAAGCAGTACTGATGAGTACTCTGAGAAACTCTCAACTGCCCGGTCCAAGTCCTAGACAGGACTAGACCGGCAAGTCTCAATCCAAACTGAAGGCATGTTATACAGGCCTGGAACCTTCTGTGAACATTTCTCTCTTAAGGCAGGCAAGATGAGGAAGAACTCAAAAGGTGAAGAGATAGGAAAACAAGGGGAAAGACAAATTCCTAGTTTCAGAAACACAACTTACACAGTGGGAACAAGTTATGCATCCCTTTCTCTTCCAGCAGTTCCAGTAACTGAAAAGCAGTCAGCTTTCTCCCCCACTCCTAACAGAAATTAGATTCACATCTTCAATTCCAGAATGATCCTCCTCCCTTGCAACCAAAATATTAAAGAAAACCTGTCTCCAGGCCCCTGAGGGGTTAGCAAACACAGGCTAATAAAATGACTGAAAGAGGTAAAAGGTCTGCGGGAATAACAACAAAGAGGCAAGCTTGTGCGCCGGGTTCCCACAACGCAAAATACACTTCGGAAGATAAAACCTCGGCTTCTGGAACGGCTCAATCAGGATTTCTCCTGCAGAAGACGCAGCTTGTGACCCAAACTAAGCTAACTGGGCTGGAGACCGTTCTGGGCAGCTGCCAACAGAGCCCGGAACGAAGCTCCCCATCATGCTGGGGTAGGAATCAATAGACTGAACCCAGCTGGAGATCCGAATTCATGGAGGGCGAGGGGTACACCCAAAAGACAGGGGCAGGCTTGGAAGAGACTACGGTTATGGCTCCCTGTGAACCTGCCATCTCAACTCTAACAAGGGTAGAACCTAAAATTAGGAATTCTGAGTTTAGAGAGTGGGGGTTGACCCTTCAAGCAGAGAAGAGCAGGGGCGAGGCCCCGCAGGCGACGCTTCCTTGTTTGGGGGCCCCTTCCCGCCCCGCGGACTCGGACACCTGGCCCGCAGGGACGCAGCCGCTGGGGCGCCAGGGCCTGAGGCCACCTTCCAGGCCAGGCTGGAGAAAAACGAGCGGGGGTCTAGGCGCGGCCTCCTTCGTTCCCTCTGTTCGCGGTTCTCGGGCCCCGGCCCGGTGGGGCAACGGGCTCCGGGGGGCCACTTCCTCCGGGGCTCCGAGATCAGGCCCGGACTTAGCGGGGCCGGCCTGACTGCCCCCATTCCCGACGACACTCACCGGCCCATCTCACGGCGCTCCCCGGGCTCCTCTCTCGCGTCCCGGAGCCGCCGCAGCCGCGGCCGCCGCCATCCCCGGCCCGGGAGCCGCCCCACACCCAGCGCCTCCCCCCACTTCGCCGGGCGCCGGGAGATGGCGTCAGCGCGTCCTGCCCCTAGCGCGAAAAGATTCCGTCCTGGTCCGGGCCGGGGAGCGGCGCCTGGGACTCCGCTGAAGGGGTGGAGGTTGGCCAGCTGCCCCTCTCCCACAGCGCCCCCTCTGGTGGGAAAACAAACTCCCTCCGGCTGGCACCGCGTCACGTGAATAGGGTACCTGGCACCCCACCCTTACCCTGACTCCCCAGTGACCTCGCAGTCTCCCCTCCCTTAAATTCAGGGTATCCTCAAACAGCCCTGAGGCGAGGCTACCAGCGACCCCTGTTTCCTAGACTTCCCGGATTTGACTTTTGTAGCCTTCTTTTGGGAACTTCGGTCAACACCGAGGCGACCCAGGCCCTGGAGAGTAGGGGACCCCCACTGGAGACCCAGGGTGGAGATGGTAACTCTTTTAAAAGTTAAGAATTGGACCTAAGGGGGGAGACAGGAGAGTGGACAGGTGGAGCTCATAATAGGAGACCTGAAAATTAGTGGGGAATGAGTAGAAGGGGTTTAGGACAGAAGGAAGCAGTTTGATTTAGTGCGAAGAGGACTGGACTACTTCATGAAATGTTAGGTCACTATTCATTACAGATTAAGTGGTGTGACTTCATAGTAACATGAAAATCCAATTAATTTAAGTGAGAGAAAGAAAAAACACCAATTGAAGTTGTGCTTTGGTTTAACTTTGTAAAAAGAAAGTATTTATGCATGTGAACAAAAACTAAGCTGAGAAAAAATAAATTTGAATATTGGCGAGACTGGATTTTGAGTGGAATTTTTCCTTTCAGTTTCTGCAAACTATTTAGTAAGTAACAATTGATTTTTCTTTGTTTAAAAAGTACTGACTGGGCTGGGATCCCTACTTTGTTGCTGTCTGATCTGGGAAAAGCCATTTCTCCGCTTTAGGTTTGCTTTTCCACTTCTGCAAAATGAGAAGTTTGAACTAGATAAAGGGGTTGGTGTAAAATGTAGATAGAAGAGCTCCCCAAACATTCGGTAAGTGAAAAAATAGGCAAATATGTACCCTGTGGTATTTAATGTTAAAAAGTACATAACATTATACTTGGCATATATTTATGTACCTGTACAGGAAAGGAGTAGAAGGATACTTGACAACCAGTTAACATTGGTTACCTCTGGGTTGGAAGTGAGATTGGATGGTGGTTACAAGATCAGCATATGTTATTATTGATTCTTTTTTTACAAGGATATATTACCTCAGAAAAATAAAAAATAAGTTAAAATACAAATAAAGCATATGATCTCTAAGATTCCTTCTAGGGAATCCTTAGACCTCAATTTTGATATTTTCTCACCTAGAATGGGCACACAGGATCTTCAAAATTACTGAACACCACCCCCCACACATACTCACACACCTCACGCAAGTGGGTAAAACATAGTGAAGTTACTGTTCTGTAGCCATCTAAATCAGCAGCGGGTTTTGTTTTGTGAATATTAATATTATTCTTCACTACAGTGTCCTTCTCTCTCAGTTTAGCCAAGAAGGAAATCCTGTGGTCATTCATCGAATCCGTTGTAGCACTAACTGGCATTCTGGTTTCTAGTTCATTGCTAAGCTCACTAAACTGGCAATAAAACTGCCAAGGTAGACTCTTGGACCACCCAGGTGTACTCAAGGATAGCCACTTTCTCCCAGATTAAGACAGTACTCAGAGAGCTGATTTTTGGACAAAGTTTTAAAGAGCAGACACAGGAAGATGACAGGAAAAAAAAGTTTTTTAGCTACCAGTATTAGCATAATGACGCAGTGAAAAGGCGTGTCTGTTTAAAAACCAGAATGTTCTGATTGGTGAAACATAGGTGATTTCCTGGTTTGGTGCTGCAGTTCCAGAAGGTTGGGTCATATCTTCACTATCTTATACCAGAATTTTTAACTCCTCCGAGCAATCCTCATTTTTTTGGTTCTACATCTTGACAGTAGGAACCTCTGTAGTATGACAGGACTGTTAGGAATAAGTTAACAATATAGTTTTTAGATTTATGAAACTAAAAAAAATTATTTTTTCAATAATCTGGAATATTCTCTGAATATTTAAATTACTTGTATTAAGTAAGCCTACGGTTTTGTATACTGTAACTGGCTCAATAAATGGTTGTTGAATGAAACCTCACAAAGATATCCCAAGCTAGGAGTCTTTCCTTCCTAATTCTTTTGCTCTCTTTTCCCCATTTCTATCCTTCTCTATTTTTCCCAGTTTGTTAGCTATATATTTTCAATCTTTCTCATCTGAAAGCCTTTCATTTTCTTTCACTGAGTTTTTTTTTCTTCCTTCCACTGAGTTTTAAGAACTGATAAAGTGAAAAGAGATTTTTAAAGATATTTGGGGCTGAAAAATTAAGCTTTAATCTGGTTTGTCTACCTTGTCCTTTTCCCTAGATTTGTTATGAAATCCTTTGTTTGGTGTAGATTGAATTTTTTTGATGGGAGAGCTGGAGCTAGTCTGTCGGAAGAATGAAACAAAATACAAACTCTGCTGTGCTGGTTATTCTCCTTAAGCGGGCAGTAGTTTCAAACCAGCTCTCTCACATCACCCAGTTCCACATTGGTCTGATTTGCTAGACCTGACATATAGACTGTAGAAGCTCAGACAACTATCTCAACTCCTTTTGAGGTTAAAAGGATAAAACTGGAGAGAAGCGCCGATAACTTAGGAACCTATGTGTGTCATAAGAGGGGTAGGTGGCTTTTTTCATACTGACACGTGTTCCTGCTTGTATGCTTCAGCATGTAAAAGTGTCTTACTTTTGGATACCAGTGACAGAAACAACGAATCCCAAACACACGTTGAAATTATGGAAATACCTCATGAATTTAGCTTTGCCTGGAGACATGTTGGTGCCTGATATTGGCTTATTTTTCAAAAGCATTTCTAAAATGTCCAAATGCAAAAATACGCAATTTTCAAGCTTCTATTTTATTTACTTCCCTGGACAATGCTGTGTCCTCGTTCCCACCTTTGATGTTATGCAGCCTCTCCAGGTTCCAATGGGGCTTTCCCTTTTAAACTCATTAATTTTATTTAGGAGTCTTGTAATTTCCCCATAAGTGGCTAATACATCCTTTGGGGAAGGGGATGTCCCTCCCTTGTCTACTTCCTCAGACACTTGCCAAAGACTTTCATTTTTGTCAGAAACTTCCTGTAGAGTTATCAAAAGTTGCAGTAAAACCACTGACGATTGAAATAGCTGACTGAAGTCTAGCCCTTATTTGATCGGCAAGAGTCACATCTGGAGAATTGGTCCACAGAGAAGCAGGTGCATTCAGGCCACTGTTGAGCAGCCAGGAATTCCTTACTTGGGGTTTCTTGAGTGAATAAAGTGGGTGTGGAAAGATTGGAACCTCCTACCCTGGGACACTGATAACTCTCTCTGGGAAACTTGCTCGGCAAGGTGATTTGCGAGTTGCTGTTTATCTATAGTAGTAATTCTCAGAGTTGGCTTGTGGTGAAATCATGTTCAGCACTGGCTTCAAAGCTGATCGCCTTTGGGTAAACTTGCAGCTGGTTGCCAGTCGCCTAAAACTCCTGGAAAAAAAAAAAAGTGAGTAAATACTGCAGGCAGCACAGCAAACTGCCTCTCCGATCACTTAGCAATGCAATCCCTGAGGCCATATATCTCCTAAGAACTTACTTAGCAATTTGGGAATTTAGAGTCCTATTTCTGACTCATAGAAATGTGGCAATGATTATTATGGTAATCAAGTCATTTTTATTTCCAAACTCTGTTCTATATCTTGACTGTATCAGTGTCAATATCCTGGTTCTGATATTGTTCTACAGTTTTGTAAAATGTTACCATTGGTGAAAACTGGGTAAAGGGTAAACGGAATCTCTGTATTCTTTTTTTACCACTGCACGTAAATCTACAATTATCTCAAAATGAAAAGTTTAAAAAGAAGTTTCAACAGGTTTAAAATGTAAAATAATATCCAGATTACTGGACTTACCTCCATCAAGGCCGAGGACATTATCTAGTCAGCCTTTGCCAATTTACAGTAGCTATTAAATTTGGGCTCCTTGGCAAATTTTTCTGGAAGACTTCCTTACCTTTTTTCAAACGTAAAAAATGCTTTTCCATCTATCAGGTGGCACAGCTCAAATAGCATTGCACCCATGAATGGGGGGTAGCAGCTGACAAATGTTACCTTCTTTCTTTAAGCCCACCTTATATTTTCTGTTGCCTTTTGCTCTTTCCTCAGTCCAATGGTCATATGAGCCATTCATCTCTCAATAAACTGAAAAATTGATGATCTCTGATTATGAGGAAAATAAGGTAAAATAATCATTGCATGTAAAAGCAGTTCTTTGAGTGCTCAATGAGTAGCCCTTATTGAATTACCACAATCTATTGGAAGGGTGACAGTTGTTACTCAAACTTCCAAATTGATTTTGGGGCATTCTTTTGCTTTTGGGCAGCGAAGTCTTGCAGAGGGTGTTTGGGCATTATTTACAAAATATGGGTCTAAGGACAGTACCCCAAACAAATGAAATTTAGCCACGTCCAGTGGTACCCATTATTGTTACCATGAACAGTGAGGATGACATTGATGGCGTATACAACACTTGTAATTTTCAAACTTCATACTCCTATGTTCTTTTATTTGATCCTGACAATCCAGTGACACAAGATAG